AGATCGATCATTTAAGTTCATGAAACTCTGGAAAAAAATGATCAGTTCTTATTTTTACTTCTCCAACTTTAAGCAGATCTTACTGAAGGATATTTTACTAACACTTTCCCCGATTATATTTCAGCAAAATCGATGAATTTGGATACCGTTTCTATTACAGTTACATTATTTAAGGGTTTAATCCTCTCTTGCCGATCCTGTTAAAATTATTTCTGCTCAGAAAGAAAATATTTAACTGAAGATTTCTTGTAAAAATTGTATTTTTGTTGGGTGAATAAAGTTGTTTCTAGAAAAAAAAAGTTACAATAAAAAGGGCTAGATTTTTAATGGGGCCTGTAGACTTTTCTTTAACCACCTCAATACCACCATGTTACACCCCCTTTCACCATAAGTTGTGATGCGCTGAAATGCAGGTGCATTGGGGTGCCATTAAAAATTAATGGCATTGTAACGTGTGTTTGTATGACATGAAAGTCTAAATGGGCCCTGAGACTTCCTTTTTGGTGCCTCCCATACAGGTAAATGAACGGGGTTGGACTGAAGACATGGGGCCCACCAGAGGAAGCGAGGAGTACGAAATACCACTTTCTTTAGGAAATTAAACCATTCTGGCCTGTCTCGGTCTGTCTAGAACAGAAGCTGAAAGAATCTGTCCTGACATCAGAGAACTCCTTGCAATGTATAACAATGAACAAAAAAGTGGAATGCAGTTTTATTGTGTCACGGATAGTATTGGTGGTTCCCTGGCTCGTTTCAATGTTTCTACTACCTGCTCTTGAATAAATCTGCATAGGAAATCGCAGATTATAAGGGATGGCTCTGCTAATGAGACATGGTCGGTAACAACTCCGCATTACACCAGTATGGTTGGTTGACCTACAGCCACCGACTGCACACAAAGAAAAAGTGTTGCCCCAAAAACACATCATTCAGACGGCTGGAGAAACCAAATCTTTTCAATGTGGTGACCTGTTCTGGAACGGTTGCCCACATAGAACAAGGTTCTCTTCTGGTGGGAGCCCAAAAAGTTCAAAGCGTAAAATATGCAGCAGAAGCACCAGACCAAATTGCTTTAATTGTATGCGGGGGAAGGGGGAGCTTCACAACATGATCTGCTGCTTCTGTGGTTCTTCTGTGTCATGGGGGCTCAGGTGGTACAGCAGATGCGCTAGAGAAATTTGGCCGACCATACACTCCAGTCCCAAGTCCTCAGGTATAGGCCACCCACCAATCACAAGAATGATTCTACATTGTCTTCTCCTAAAATATGGAAGTTAAAAGCAAAACACCATTGCCTTTACTGGCCCACTTTTAGACCTATGCCCTTCAGAAGGGTGTGCTCTCTCAATAGAGCTGGGCTGGCTAGACCCACTTGGGGAAGAAACAATGACATCCCACCTAAGGGGAACATCACAACACTGGGAAAAATACATTTTTCCAGCTGCGGCCTTCTCAAATCCACAAGAGGGTACCTCTTGTGGGCTTCTCTATCTCAGTACTCACCACCAAAACAACGATGCGAAGACTTCTACTCTGATAGATAGATATATTAGGGAAGCACCGATAATGGTTTTTCGGGTATGAGTACCGATATTTATATTTCGGTACTCGCCAATACCGATACTTCCGGTAGCATAGAGCCCGCTTCCCAGGGAGCCAGGCGGCGTGTCATTACCCACCTCCCTGCTTCTTGATTGCCCGGGAAGCGTCTCCATTCTGTATGGCTGGCTCGATGCTGATTGGCCGGGAAGCCGGCTTCCCAGCCAATCGGCATCGAGGCCGGCCAAACAGATCTGACAATATGGTGACACGACTCCCAACCCTACAGACACCTTGTTCCCCTCACATAGCTCCTTAGCAGTAGTCATTACCGTACCAGTCCCTCAGCCAGCTGGGCAGACACAGCTCTCCAAGTCTCCTGTGTGTGCAGCGCCCACTCAGCCTGCTACTGCGCATGCGCAGACTGCCCAGCGCTCTCATGCAGAAATCCTGTGCATGCGCAGTAGTATGCCGAGGGCCGATCACGTGGGTACACACACATAAATCCTAACTGGGCCGCAAGGGACCCCTGTAGGAAATCCAAGGACACTTACACCCCTCTACACACCAAAGACACAGTAACAAAGCCTTACAAGTTCATCATATGATCACATAAAACAGTCAACGCATTCAGGGGGCCAACAACACTCCCCCTTCATCAGGGCCCAGTAAACGTTAAAGTTCGGATGAAATCAATATTTGGCGGGTATAGGACCAATACGCAGCATACAGTATGTCAGTGTGCGCATTGGATGAGTGAGCCGCATCCAGCTGAAGGAGGAGATTGTGCGAGTTGGCTCATGATTAAGATTATATTGATCTCCTGGGCCAGCGGGAAAGGCGTCTCTCCTTCACCCAGCGTTTGTTCGATATCAGTCAATATAATCTTCTGTGTATTACACACCTCGCTGAACAGAGGAAATTGTATCACTCTTCATGAACAGGTTCTGTTACTGGAGGTCAGCCAGTACATGACACTTCCGCGCAGTACACGCACCACCAGACGGCTAGGAATATACAGTATTGACGCCGTATGGTAATTTAAAAATAAAAAAGTGTTATTTTTATTTATCGCACTCTATATAGTCACTTAAAGAGATCCCAACTAAAGTGGACTTCTTAGTCACTGAACAAATTCCTGACATGTCACAATACACAGAAATAGGATCATTTATGTTAGAAAAGCTAATTAAAAAAAAGCCTTCATGAGCCCCAGTCCAGTGTCTTTGCCTAGGCTGAGATGATGTCATTAGTCTGCTGCAGGCAGGAGGAAGCATTTCCTCGGTCTCTCCTCAGTGATCAGATTGAAACACTGTAACATGGCAGCATATAAGTACCTGGAAGCAAGGTCTGTCCTAGACTATTTCGCACCCTAGGCAGGACCATCTCATTGCAACCCGCCCAACCTCAAGTGGTGCAACCCCCAATCCCACTGCCCACAACCCAATCCCCGACGAGCGTGGCCCATTCTCCTGCAGGTTAGCTTCTGCAGGTGACAGGTGGATGTCATTTTCATTTGAAATAGCCAATAGCAGACTGGATATTGAAACCCCACCCACTGAGCAAAGTTGTCTCTCAGTTGTGCTCCTCTGCTCAGTGGGCGGGTGCAATAGCCAGCCTGCTATTGGCTATTTCAAATAGACGGGGTGCGCCATGTGGGGGTGAGTGGTCTAGGCGCCTGCTAGTGTGCCTAGTGGCAGCATCGGCCCTGCCTGGAAGTGTTATACTGACACATTACGTGAATTAAGCACGCGATCATGAAAAAATATCTAATTATATGTACACTTTGAAGGAAGTATATAGTATTTCCCTATTAGGGCAGAGTAGGATTTTTAGTTATCCCCGCTGGGGGAAGACATGGGGAGCAAAGGACCCTTTTTCTACTTCACTACACATGGGGTTGGATGCAAATTTCTGCTGAGCAGAGCAAATTTCTAACTATACGCCATCTGTTTTAAGTTTGGAGTGGATTTGGGACTTTCCCTCGTCACTATAAAGCTGGCCATACACCTTACAATTATCTGCAGATTTTCTGTGGTCAGATTCCTCCATCTACACTTAACTGTGTGGCTGGAGTAATCTCCACCTGGGCCAATCTGTTGCACTTTTTCCATCTGACCACCGAAAATCTGCAGATAAATTGTAAGGTGTATGGGCACCTTAAGACGCCACCATCAGCCACAATGTACACCAGAGTACAGGGGACCCTTCTCCACTGACCACCAATGTATGTGGGCACTCCACTGACCATCAGTGTAAGGGGGCTAGTTTCCACTGGCCAAATGTATGTGGGCACTGTATTGACCACCAGTGTAAAGTGGGCTCTTTTTCCACTGACCACCCGATTATTAACTTGAAAGGGTGACAGCGGCCTTATCTAGACAGGAGATTCGGGACTCCAGCCTCAGGATTCCCAAATCGCATTGTGTGAATGAGGCCTAAGGGAGCCACCAATGTAGGTGGGCTCTGCCATGTACACCAGCGTACAGGGGGCCCTTCTCCACTGACCACCAATGTATGTATGTGGGCACTACACTGGCCACCAGTGTAAGGGGGCTCTTCTCCATTGATGACCAATGTAAGGTGGGTCTTCTCCACTGACCACCAATGTATGTATGTGGGCACTACACTGACCACCAGTGTAAGGGGGCTAGTCTCCATTGATGACCAGTGTAAGGGGGCTAGTCTCCATTGATGACCAATGTAAGGGGGCTAGTCTCCATTGATGACCAACGTAAGGGGGCCCTTCTCCACTGACCACCAATGTATGTGGGCACTTCATTGACCAACAATATGAAGGAGCTCTAACGTTTCCACTCTCAGCTTTTCTTTTCTGGTCATTATTATTTATTTGTTTTATTCATTGTTATTAAAATATTTTGGCCGTATAGAGCGGCCCGGGGGTGTCAAATACAACAAGTATGCCACGCTGCTTATTATTTGTATCTATTCTATGTTGACTCACCACTCACACTAATCTACTGTAAGCTGCAGATATATTAAATATTGGCAGGGGGTCCCTGGAACCTAATCCTCATTTCCAGGGTTCCTCCATGTTACACAGGTTGAGTAAGGCTGCTCTATGGGCCCATATTGCCCTCGGTGGGGAGTCATCCACATAAAACGCGGCCTCTCTTAAATCTGTATTATATGAGCGCTGTGTCTGCGTATTATATGCCTCATCTGCAGGATACCAGAGGTCCCTCCGCTACATTGTCTACTCCTCTCCGAGCTTTTACCCTTAACGGAAATACATTTCAGATGAAAAATGTTATAACACGGCCATTAAATTGCTGCGACTCTGATCTCTCCTCAATTCCTTTTGTTGCTGCTGTTGCTGTGTTCTTAGAAGTAATTTGATTTGCACGACGTCTATCAAAAGACCGGCTCCGGCAATAAAACCGGCAGAGCCTGTGAATTATTCATCTATA